GCCAACATGAAACGGTCATTTGTCAGAGTCCATTGACCGTGTCACACTGAGCGAGGAGGAGGAGGAGGAGGAGGAAGAGGAGGAAGAGGCGGTCCCTTCAACCATCACTGATCCATCACACTCTGACAGTAGAGCCCATGATAATGTCATTTGTTTCCTAGGAAAAATACCTCATAATACTTTAGTACATGATTCTGTGTTTTTGTTTGATACTACAGGAAATGACTGCACATTTTTAATTTAACTACAATTTAACATTTGTTCAAAGTTCAGATCTCAGTTGTGTCTCTGACTGATTATAGTTAAGGTTTATTCAAATACTAGGAGAACTGTTCTGTCAGAAATAGTTCTTCTATCACTGTCTACATGATGGCGACAGAGGAATAATCCGCCTGAAGATGATGAATTATTGACACAGTTGTCATTTTCTCCATGGAGTTCTGGTACATTTGAAATCAGACTGAGATTGAATGAACGCCCAGCGTTGGTCTGTACTGTAACCTGAGACAGAAGCTGCAGCTGGTGGGGCACGGTCACACTCTGCCAACATCAAACATCTGAGATTATATTTGTTCCCTGACTGAGCTCATCTGCACAGACTGTTTACTCTGCAGTAACAGCACTTCATTATTTGCCTGAGGAATGAGCCTCAAGGAGAAGCGTGTCATCACTGTCTCATCTCAGCCTGGATCCACGGACCTACCACTCCGACCTACACGGATGGAGAAGCAAATAGAATTTATGGTTGGAGTTGTTTTAACACATACAGAGACTCAGGTGTGGCCGCACGATGGAGAAGAGGTCAGAGGGTCTGCCTGGTTATAAGAACGTCAACGCTTTGTTCTTCTGATCCTGGCTATTCTGTTGGAGGATGAATCTGTTGAAATTAGGAATAAATATGAACCTGATTGGTTGTTTATCTCTAGAAAGGACCCCACCCCCCAGCTTATAAAATATATATATATATGATGGGATGTTAATGTTGTTGTTATATATTGTCATTTTATATCTTATCAACATATATACTATCATTATAATCCCATTCAATCCAACTCTCACTGATCAGTAATCAATAATCAATACGGTTTATGTGCTGTCCATGAACCATGAACCTTATTAAAACACAATGCTGTTTCATCCATGGAGAAGAAAAGATCAATATCCAAAATATCAGTTCCAATAAATCGACTTTAGTCTGTGTTCATCAGTCACTGCTAATCTCACTGGATTAGGATCCAGAAATAATCCAGTTTAACATCAACGCCTCCATCCCTGATGTTCTCTCTGATGGGATGCACTCACCCACTCACCCACTCACCCACTCACCCTCTGTTCATACAACATGAGGATTGTTCTTAGATAGAATTTAATAAGAACATTTTTATGGGATTTTTGTTTGTTTGTTTGTTTGTTTGTCTCTTAATGTGAAGGAGTTGAACTTGCAGTAAAAACACAGACTGCTCTGGAACATTCTTGTGTGAATCCCTGTGAACCACAGTGACAGATGCTGAACTGAAACCAGAATCAGAAACGTTTTTATTGTCGTTATTAGCAGCAAAAAAAAAAAAATCTACTTCCTGTCATGTGACTAAGTCCAGCTGGACAGAGGTCACCAGGCTGAAATACACTGCACCTGTTTGTGTGTAATACAGCACTGCATGTATGTTGTGCTCATAACACTGCACACACACACCCACACACACACACACACACACACACACACAGTAAGTCAGATTAGAGCTCGTCCTCTGTGGCTAAACCTGTGGTTGACAGACACAGGTTTAGCCACAGGAGCCAGCTGTTAAAGGCCCATCATGCACTTTGACAGACAGACACGGAGGAGTAAACACTGTTGTGTTGTCGTAATCAGTAAAAGACAGATCGATCGTCGCCCTCAGGCCTCTGGAGCTCAGAATGTTCTGGACACTACTCTGCTGTGTAGGTTTTGTCTTTGAACAAGAATCCTCTGTCATTTCTACGTCATTTTCTCTGATTGGTCTTTTTTTAATGTTTGTTGTCAAAATATTCAATAAATATTCATTTACATCTAGAGCTGGAGACTGACGGACGGAGTCGTCATATGGCACATGTATATTCTGTGGAATCAAAGCTGTCATTTTGGAGAAAACCAACTTCTTAAACGGACTCTGGTCAGTTAAACCCTGCAGTTGTCCAGGGAGCTGAGGGTTGTGTTGACCAAACTCCCAGCACCCAGCTGCTGCCGCTGCTCCCACTTTCACAGTGGGCTCTTCTCACCACAGTCACAGTCACAGTCCTCTGCTGTCTCCTTCAGAATCACATATTGATTTCCCTGTTAAGGAGCTGCAGTCGTTGACAGATGAGAGGGATTTACACCAACAACCATGTTCCAGTGGCGTCAGTCAGCACAGAGCAGACAAAAAACAGACGCTGGACCACATTAAGAATGAATGAATATATATATATATATATTTATATATATATATATATATATATATGTACATATATATATATATGTACATATATATATGTTTAGACATTGTTATTTAACAAAACATACGTTATTTTGAATGTTTAGCCACTGCTTTAATGATGTCAGGTTTCCATGGAGACGGCTGGAATGTGGATACTCAGTTTGCTTTTGAAACAGTGTATAAATATGTGGGATAAATGTGTGGATCTATAATAATGAATTAAGATCCATTTGAGTTGATTTAGAACAACTTCACCTTTGCTGCTGTAAAACAACAAGTGAATACTTTATATTAAAGTATGTTCAAAGACACATTGTCTCCAGTGAATCATGAATTCCTGTCCATTACCTGGCTGTTCCACAGCCCCCCCCTCCCCTGCAGACACGCCCTCCTGTCCTGCTGTAACCTGGTTTAAAACAAAGGTAAAGATTGACAGTAGTCACTGTGTCACTGAGTCATGATCAGTTAGCTGCAGCAACAACAGTGAATCACAATTTAACAATGAACACCTCAGATCATGTGATCAGACGGACAAAAAAAAAAAGAGATTGTTGACTGTTAATAACGAGAAAACTGATCGTATGATGAAATCAAAAGACAAAATACTGAATACTGATCCTGACTCCTTCTTACCATCACAGCTTTCATCATCTAAATGATTCTTTCAACATTTCATTTTGGACACTTTTCTGTCAAATAATTTCTAAACTAAACATTAAACCATGTTCTCCAGTTCATCTTGTGGTCATGAACAACATGAACAACATTGAAGAATGAATTCATAAACTTTGCAGCTAAATTACTAATAGATCCAACTCCACGAGTTCGTGTCGTGTTCTGTTTGATTTCCATCTCTGAGCTTCATAATCCAAAGAGAGCGTTCAATTACATACATGTTATATCTCCATACATGGAATTCACTCTGAAACGTCGGGCTTTTTTATTCCAGTGAAGTTGGACAGTTTGATATCCATGAACTCCTTCTGACACAAATGACTTTTCTGATTAAAAACCACTGCTAAGACGTTTGTTGTGTTTTGTGTGATCTCTCCTGAGAATACTGACCGTTTGTGCTGATGGGCTGCACAAACACCTTCAGGAAGACTGCTGAACTGCAGGATTTGCATTTTAAAGGGAGTGACTGATGGCACAGGAAGGAAATGGAGAAATGCAATCATGGCAGTGCAATAAAAGGCTGTAGTGATGTAAGTCAAGCTGAGTAACCTAAAAAACACAGATCCTCTAACACCTGCAGCACGAGACAGGCTATTAGGAAGTGGTTCCAGCAATATTTATATCAGTGAGAAACGCAGCTCAGGAGTTCAGCCTAGAAAAGCCTTAAAATGCACCACTTACAGAATGGAACTTTCTGCAGTTCCGTCGAGGAGAATATTTTTAGGAACTGGAAATGAACAATGACCTGCGCCGCAATAAATCACGGAGCATCTGAGGACATTTACCTGTCTGTTGTTTTAAGGCTTTTATGTCTAACACAGAAGTTAAACAGATTAATGTCCTGGCACTGAGATAAAATCACTTCCTTAAAGTGCTCTGCTCACATTTCTCTGCTCACATTTCTCTCTGTTTTTCTAAAGTGCAGCGATGGCAAGATTTCAGGACAAAAATGGTTTTGATCTTGAGAGCCTGGAGTTGTCTCTCCCTGTGAGACCTGTCAGGGTTAAACTCTGATCTGTACACTGTGACTTGCTCAAGGCTGTGTGTGTGTGTGTGTATGGTGTTATTAAAAAGAAATATTGCTTCATAAAGAGCCAGTGCTCTGCAGCCACGACTCCAGATAATGCAGACCATTGCTGGAATATGTCTCTGGAAAAAAGGGGAATTGGATTTTTTAATGTGTTGAATCAGTTAGTGTTTAGCCGCGGCCTGGTGTGTCCACAGGACTGGGAAACAACAACACACACACTCAGATGTCTGTTTGTATTGTTGCTTCAAACCAAACACCAGTGCTAACATGTGGTCACTGGTCCACCGTGAATGGACAGGACAAATGGACAGGACGATTGACCCTTGAGTCCAGTTGGTGGAGGACACAGGACACACTGCTGGTTGGATTGAAAGTCATTGATTTAAATATTGAGACTTTTCACCACTGTTTACAGACTGGTTGACTCTTCTCTCCTGTCACATCATCAGCTTTGACATTTCCTCTACACACTTGTCTAAAGAGCCGAGGCTTCCTGACTCACAGACCAGGTTGATCATCACTTCTGAAGGTTTAGGTTACATGAAACTGGAGATCGATGATGACTAATAAAATGTGTTGGAGAAACAGGAGGAAAAGAAGAGACGGTTGTGTGAAGGTTGTGTGTCTGTGTTTATTTCTAATGAGAAGAAACTAAAATAGAAGGGAAATAGTTTTATTTTAATAATATATATATCTTTTTTAATTCATTGGAGCCACAGTGGGTTAGACTACTGCAGAGGAAGATTAACTCTAAATAATCTCTGAGCTCTTGTCCCCACGAGGACACGATGAGTACTGTAGTAGTATTTAACAATACGTCCGCATATAAAGTACAGCTTTAACGTGGAAACAGCGAAGTATTCAAATCAGTGAGCGCAGTTCCAAAGGACCGGTAGGGGGCAGTGATGTCCTCAGGTGGGGAGCGCAGGTTTGTTGAAGGGGGAGTGTGTTGTGTTGCTGTTGCACAAGCGCTCCCATGTTGCGTCGTCTGGAAACCTGACGTGGAGCTCGACCGAGTCTGTCTACGGCCACGGCGGCGTGTGTGTGACTGAGTATTCGGGTGGATGTGTGTGTTTGCTGCGTGTGTGTAAGTGTGTTTGTGTCTGAGAGTGTGTGAGTTACGGCTCGGCACATTTAAAAAGTGTCTGTAGTCTCTGTTTCTCTCTCTTCGCCGTCCACACACCGGAGCCGTCCCCACGCTGCCGAGTCCTCTCGGCCGGCCGCCGGTCACCAGGGAATCCCCCTG